ATAGAACAGCTGAACAGAAAGCAAAAAAGGCAAAATGCGAGCTCTGCTCCTGCCTTCTCAGTTCTCTTATGTATCTTTTTTGTAGTATTGTCTATGTGATTGAATTCTGTCTCTGTAGACAGCATTCAAAATTTTATGCCAGTGGGCATTTTCTTATCTCTTTTTCAAAATTCTCTATCAGGAGATTAATAAACATTTATAATAAGCCATCTGCTTGGACACAGAGATAGCTTTGTTCTGTGTTAAGTGTTCATCGGGGTTTTTTTTCTGGCCATTTGCTGTAATCTGATGTATTTATTATTAATAGGTAAATCAGAAAACCGTTTTCTGAGTTAAAAATAGAACAGTGGCTGCTACATCATATGAAATTATCTCGAGACTTTGACAAATTGTGAGACATCACTTACACTGAGGCAGATTTCTGAAAATAGATCTGGAAGTCTACAGTGTTAGTGCCAGAAGTAAGCCGTTTTTGATTGTTAGAATGACTTTCCTCCACGACTACTCATCTTTCAAAAGAGTGTCTTTAATATTGAACCTATAAACTCAGGAGTATTTTGATCCCCGAAAAACTCTAAATGAGTCTCAGTTGCACTTATAAAATGTTGTATTTGTTAGCTATATATTACTCATGTATGGAGATCCCATTTTAATCTCCAGGAAATTAGCAATATGCACAAAATATTTTTATTTTCTTTTTTGATCTTCAATGCGAATAGTAGGAAGAAATCCAACACTGTTCAGCTAGAAGGAGATAACGGCTATGAATTTTTCCATAATGGACAGAAATATTCACATTTGTATTGTGAATTATATTCCACAGGACCAATAGAAACTGTTATATTCTATATATGTGGTTTCTTTATTTTATTTTATATTTGATTTTATTCATAATTAGTGTATTTAGAGAAAATAAACATTTTTGTGTTCTTGTGACCTTTTCTATAACAATACTAACTTAAGTAAATGAGGTTAAATATTTTTTATTTTATTATAGTGCAATTTAATTGTATTGTAATCATTATACTCTAGTAGCCATATTAATAATTACAATAAGTTATTTGGTACATTTATAGTTATTCTCTAAATACAACCTCTGTCAGACTCTTATTTGACAGTTACTTGGTTAAAACTGATTAGGATTGTGTGTGTGTGTGTGTGTGTGGTTTGTACACGTATGTGCACACTCGAATATGCTAAGTAATTTAAACTGAAAAGTTACTTTTTAAAAAAAAATTGTGAGAGGCCAGACTTGGTGCTGATCAGGGCTTACACCTGGTTCTGCACTCGGATCACCCTTGTTTGGGCTCAGAGAACCATGTATGATGCTGGGGATAGAATCCTGACTGGCTATATCCAAGGCAAAACTACTTTCACCACACTTTTTTTTGTTTAATTGAAATCTTCTGAACTTTTTATGCAATATACAGTAAAATTACTATCTTAATTACTGAAATGTTAGGAAATGTCACCATTCCCATGTAACTTTCATGCTCATTAAATAAGTCTTCCAAAAGATAATAGTATGATGAGTGAATTGTCCATATTTGAGGATTGAAGTAGAGAAAAAAAAGGAAATAAACTGTATAACACTAAGTTTGTTAGATAATTTTGTAAAACTCAACAGAAAATAATTAAGGCAAGCATCATTATATATTAAACTATTGTAATTATTTTAAAATTTGACTTTTTAATAGTTTCCTTGACATTACCATAATTTTTGTCACTGTCTCCACTGTCCTCCCGTTGTTCATTGATTTGCTTGATCAGGCACCAGTAACATCTCCATTCGTCCATGACACATGCTGGTATAGCCCGGTGGCAAACTGGGGGCTCTTTCAGGGTCAGGAGAATGAGGATCATCATTGTTACTGTTTTCACCATATCAAGAACACCACGGATAGCTTGCCAGGCTCTGCCATGTGGGTGGGATACTCTCAATAGTTTTCTGGGCTCTACGAGAGGGATAGAAGCTTTTGGGGAAGCCTCTAATCACCTTTACAGGTGTTCCCAGTGAGGGATATATTCGGGAAGGATACTTTTGGTAGCCTGCCGGGTTCTTTGAGAGCGAAATCTAGACAATAAAAGTTTGCTCGGCTGCGTTCAGGAGCTTGGTTTTACACTCTCTGTATCTTGGCCATTGGTGGGATTACATGGCAGTTGGTGGGCATAACTGTCTAGCTCCTGGAAGATGGAGATCTGGGTGGAGGAGGCCCAGTCCCAATCTGAGCAGGCTTGAAGATCTCAGGCCCAGGTCCCACACACCTGGGTTCCTCTGCTGGTTCCTTCATGCGTGAGGCTTGTTTGAGCATGTAGAGAGTGGTCTCAGCATGTCTGTGGCTTGGTTCCAGAAGTCTTCAGCTGCCAGGGATCTCCTTGGGGCGGGGATGGAGATTAAACCCTCCCCCTTCCAAGAGTTCCCATTGAGGACAGTCAGGCACAGGGTAAGGAGATTTCCTAATAATTTTTACAAAATTATAAAATATACAAAAAATATAATTTTTGTAATAAATGAAATGTAATGCTTTGAGATTCTGGTTTTTATTTAGTTTTGTTTGAGGGTCAAACCTGATTATACTCAGGGCTTACTCCTTGTTCTGTTCTCAAGGATCACTTCTGATGGCATTCTGGAGATCATATAGGATGCTGAGCATCCAATCTGGGTTGGCTGTATTAATGGCAAGCACATCTGTATTTATCTTTCCATAACCTATATCTTTTATTAACACACCTAAAAATAAATAGCATTTAGACAAATAATTTCTCATTCAGTATTTCAATAATGCAAATATTTCACAAAATTTAGAAAATTGAAGGCCTGCACTTAATTTTTAATCAAATGCATTGCCTAATTTAAAAAGCCTAATTTAAATTAATTCCCTAATTTAAATTCATTGCCAAATTTAAATTATGAATTTCTTATAAAGCTGTATTCCCTAGCCCACTACATTGAAAATGATAACTTGCTAAAAGTGCTTTAATTCAACTATCTAGGATAATAGGATCAGAGTCTAATATGGCTTTTTTATCAGTATTTTTGTTTTATCTTTTATTCTATCTAGATTATTGCATAGTCTATAATCTTGTTATAATGGCCTTGTTTATACAAAATACAAATCATTTTGTATTTTATTTAAATTTTGTTAGAAATAAAGAACATCAGCTTCCCCACTAGACCTACCGATTCAGTATCTGTATTCATAAAAATACTTGTGAATCACATGAACATTCATATTTGACAAGCACTTCATATTCCATAGGACTCAATTTAGCAGCAAAAATTTCAGTTGTAAAATGTGAGGTAACACGACTTAACTTTGCATTGTGTAACAAAGATAAGTAATTTATATAAACAGTCTCTGAAAGACCCTTTCTTTGGGAAATGGAGGCAGGGGGTGGTTGAATCATAACTCCTTCTGCTCAGGGACCACTCCTGCTGGTGCCAAGGTAACATTTGTGGTGCTGATTGAAATGGGGTTGGCCACTTACAAGGAAGTGCCTTTTTCCCTGCACTACCTCATTGGTCCTAAGTCAGAAGTCTGGTGTGAATTTAATGAGCTTACATTAGTCTAATGTGTTCACATTAAATCAATCCTTGGGGTATTTGAAAGAAAAAAAAGTCTTCACTCCTTTCTGGAACAAGTTCATTAAGACTGTTGACAGATTTTTTTTACTTGCAATTGTAAGATATAAGTTCTACTTTTAATGCCAGCAGCAGAAGGATTCATTCCAAGTTTCCAGTCTTTCCCAGTTTCCAGAGACATGTCATGCCATGTAGTTCCTTTCCACTAACTTTATGAACAAAAATAATATGGGCAAATTCCTGTCCCTTTTCATAAATCAAACCTATGGACTTTGTTCCACTGTTTCATCCATAGACTTCATTTTAAGTTTTTGGGTTTTTGTTTTTTACTTTTGTTCATTATTTTATCATTTACTTCTAAGGATGATATGATATGATATGATATGATATGATATGATATGATATGATACAATGTGTGGTTTAGGTCCAACTAAAAATCCGTGGTAATCTGATATTTCATGCCTTTATTTCTATTCACATTTGCAAAGACACTTTTACCATGAAAATATTCCCTGCATGTAGGGAGTTAAACGAAGAAATGCTTTATTTAGGCAGAGTATATCCTCCAATAAACATTTAATAATATAAGGCAGCTACAGAATTTATGGTTATAAATCCCATATTCATAGTTATGTGAAAGATTAATGCATCTCAATGTGGTATGTCATTTCATATTCATTATGTTCATTTAGAGTACGATGATGGGGTTAGATTAGTGCAGTATTTCTCAACTATTTTCCAACCGTGACCCATTTCCTATCTTATTTCATCTCTGTGGCCCCACTAGCTTACTGACTGATACTCTAATCTTGTACCATTTTCCCTACTTAGATAAATTTTACCTGTTCCCCATAGGACATATCCTGGGGTTCCTCAGAAAGCCATATGGTATCGGTTGAGAAGTGATGAGTCAGAGAATGACCTTTGATTCATTGACAAATTCATTTAATGTAAAACAGCAGTCACTCTATATTCATTTATATTCATAAGGTCTTTGTGGACACATCTCATATTTTCTCCAACATAATTTAATTTATTCAAAGAGACTATCACATTTAATATCACATCACATTTAATATGACTATTAAATATGTTTCAAGTGCTGGAACAGGTCAATGATAGGATAAATGAATCAAGTGACAATTAAAATCTCACTTAAAAGCTGCCGCAAGGATTTGAAATGTAAATAATGACTTAAAAACACACACCATTATCTGATACTAATGTAGCTAGTGCTAATGCTGCATAGTTATATTATCAAATTGTAAATGAATTGATTTTAAAATTCAAGAAAGTTTCAGCATTTTGCTGAAGCAGCCATCTTTATCAGAACACTGTGATAATTGTCTATAACTCTGAGAAAGAATATGTGAACTAGTTATCTTGAAATTGGACTCACAAGTCTCTTTCCTGCCAGATACTCTATAGATCGGCATACTGATATGGACCGGATTTTTAGTATACATGCAGAAAATGGCTCTATTTTCACTTTGAAATCCCTAGATCGAGAATCATCTCCTTGGCACAACATCACCATTACGGCCACAGAAATAAGTAAGTTTAAAATACATCCATCTGAACACATTATTGACCAAGAAGTGGAAAAATGAAGCCATTAAGGAGATGTTTTACTTTACATGGAATGACTGCTCTTAGCAGTACTTAAGAAAACTAATTTAGTGTCTTGGATTTTAGATTATTTTAATAATGGCACAATATTTATCTTAATCTTGGTTTTCTTTGTCATCTTCATGTAGAACCAATATGCAATTTAATGTCATAAAAATAAGATAAAATATAAAATAGTAAATCTTACAAATGGTTTATTCTCAGTCATATTCTTCTCTCTATTGTGCTTTCCATCTGAACCATGTCAGAAAGCTGAAATATCCCTCAGAAATCCAATTGAAATATAAATCCCACAGAAATGATCTGTTGCTAAGATACAAATGGGATGAGTGGTATCACTGTTTCTCTGTGAATAAGGCTAAAATCTTACACATGTTCTCCTTGCAGATAACCCAAAACAAAGTAGCCAGATACCAGTCTTCATCAGAATTCTAGATATAAATGACCATGCTCCAGAGTTTGCCATGTACTATGAAACATTTGTTTGTGAGAATGCAAAACCTGGGCAGGTAAATTAAATTATTCTGAGCATATTTTTCTTTTACAAAAGTGAATGACATTGTACTTAATTACTGACACATATTTTAATGTAACCTCTTACTAATTTTCTTTGTCCCCTATTTACCTAACTTTATAAAAATAATAACAATTTTTAAAAATGACTGTTATTATTATTTAATGAAATTTATGATATAAGAAACATTTTATAATTTCACTTATAAATTACAGGTATCACACATATGAGTTCAAACCTAGATTCATTGTTACACTAACAATCAGTTATATCCATGAATAGAAAAGATTAATGATGGAGATAAAGTTTTTTATATAGCTATAAAGCAATTATAATAATGATTAATAGATTGAATTCTGTCACTTTTGATTACTAGGTCAAAAACATTTTATTTTCGTGTGAGCCATATTTTGTGTTTTTAAGCCACACTGAGCAGTGTTCAGGGGTTACTCTGGCTTTGTGTTATGGCATAACTCCTGTCAGGAGCCGGGGACCATATAGGGTGCCAGAAATTGAACCCCGGTTTGCCTTGTGCAAGGCAATTGTACCCACTGTACTATCACTCCATCCCTGCTACATTTTGATTGTGATTTTTCATCTTAGTATTACAGAATACAGAAAGATGTGTACAAGATTTATAAATTTCTCTTATGAGGTGATATTTATAAGACTATTGAATCTTATATTTGTAAACTCTGAAATCTCTTAAATATCACTATAAGCAAAAATTTTGATTAAAATGTTTGAAAAGTATTCAATAAGATTATAATTATGATGCAATACAATTTAATCTTTTACTTTCTGGTATTATTTGTAACAATCGTCAGTTTTTTCAACAATATGTTATTAAATTTCTAAATCTAGAGGCATTCCTATGCTAAGCATTGTGTTTTACGGCATTTATCTGTTATTTAATCTGCCTTTAAGATTATTATTATTATCTCGTAGAGGCAAAGGACTGATAAAAAAATAATAGTAAAACAGAATGATGCTTTTCAACAATTCTGAAGGTTGATAAATGTAATCCTGTAGTGATCGAGAGTCAGACAATGATTCTTAGAACATCCCTGCATACCAATACTTGACGTATATTTTGAATTTAACAAAAAGTTTAAAATATGTTGGAAATCAGAGAAGTAAGGTATTTGCCCTTCATGCTGCCTATCCAAGTTCCATCCCCGCATCTCATAGGATCCTCCAGCACTTCCAAGAGGTGAGCCTGGGCATGAAGTCGGTAGTAAGTCCAGAGAACAGCAAGATTAGGCCAAGGGATGCATTGAAAAGGGAAGAAAACAAAATTGTATTTGAATGCCTCCTCATTCGCTGAAAGTTGATATGGCAGTTGGGCCTGACATTAAATGTGAGGAGGAGAGAATTCAAAGCCCTCGAGAATTCAGAGCCCTCAGACCTTGTGGGGAGTTTCAGGCTCAACCTCAAGGCAGCATCCCAGTGACATTCTGGGAACTGTTAATATGGAAGTTTGACATAAAAGCATGTATAATATTTAAAAAGCGACATAGTTATTAAATGCAGTGATAAATCAAAACTACAGGGACTGATAAAAAAATAATAAGTTTCTTGTAACAACCACCATTGCTCGTTGATCAGTTTTCGCTTTGTGTGTGTGTGTCTATTTGGTTTCAGTTGATTCAGACAATCAGTGTCATGGACAAAGATGATCCTCCCCGAGGTCACAAATTCTTCTTTGAACCTGTGCCAGAATTTCCCCTCAATCCTAACTTCACCATTGTAGATAATAAAGGTAAGGCCTCTTTTTTTATTTGCAAACTAGACGTCACAGGACTCCAAGATGCGAAATGAAAAGCAGGCCTATTTGTCATTGATGCCAACCTACCTCTGTGCTTCTGTACGCTTTTCAGATAACACAGCAGGTATCATGACCCGAAAAGATGGGTATAGTCGCACAAGATGAGCACCTACCTGTTGCCCATTTTGATCTTCGACAACGACTATCCGATCCAGAGCAGCACTGGCACGCTCACCATCCGCGTGTGCGCCTGCGACCGCCACGGCAACATGCAGTCCTGCAGCGCCGAGGCCCCTCGCGCTCAGGGCCGGCCTCAGTACCGGCGCCCTCGTGGCCATCCTCCTGTGCGTCCTCATCCTGCTAGGTAAGCTGAGCGCTCTCTCTCTCTCTCTTTCTCTCTCTCTCTCTCTCTCTCTGAGTCTCTCTCCTCTCTCTTCTCCCCCCCTGTTTTCTTTCTCTCACTCCTATCTCTTTTTTCTCTCCTCTCTTCTCTATTTCATCTCTCTCCTCTCTCTTCTCACTCCTCCTCTCTTCCCCCTCTCTCCTTTCTTTTCTCTCTTCTCTCCTTTTTTCTCTCATCTCTTTTCTCTCTACCTCTCTCCTCTCACTCCCTTTCTTTTTCTTCCTCTCTTTCTTCCTCTTTCACCTCTCTCCTTTCCCTCTTCTCTCTGCTCTCTCTCCCTCTCCTCTCTTTCTTTGCTCTTTCCTCTCTTCTTCTCTCCCCCTCCATTTTCTCTTTTCTCTCCCTATCTCTCATCTCTTCTCTCTCCCTCTTCTCTCTCTTTTACCGCTCTCCTTTCTTTTCTCTGTCTTCTCTTCTCTTCTCTTCTCTTCTCTTCTCTTCTCTTCTCTTCTCTTCTCTTCTCTTCTCTTCTCTTCTCTCTCTTCTCTTCTCTTCTCTTCTCTTCTCTTCTCTTCTCTCTCTCTCTTCTCTTCTCTTCTCTTCTCTTCTCTTCTCTTCTCTTCTCTCTCTTCTCTTCTCTTCTCTTCTCTTCTCTTCTCTTCTCTCTCTTCTCTTCTCTTCTCTTCTCTTCTCTTCTCTTCTCTTCTCTTCTCTTCTCTTCTCTTCTCTTCTCTCTCTTCTCTTCTCTTCTCTTCTCTTCTCTCTCTTCTCTTCTCTTCTCTTCTCTTCTCTCTCTTCTCTTCTCTTCTCTTCTCTTCTCTCTTCTCTTCTCTTCTCTTCTCTTCTCTTCTCTTCTCTTCTCTTCTCTTCTCTTCTCTCTCTTCTCTTCTCTTCTCTTCTCTTCTCTTCTCTTCTCTTCTCTTCTCTTCTCTTCTCTTCTCTTCTCTTCTCTTCTCTTCCTCCCCTCCCTCCCCTCCCCTTCCCCTCCCCTCCCCTCCCCCCTCCCCCCCTCCCCCTCCCCTCCCCTCCCCTCCCCTCCCCTCCCCTCCCCCTCCCCCCCTCCCCTCCCCTCCCCTCCCCCCTCCCCTCCCCTTCCCCTTCCCTTCCCTTCCCCTTCCCTTCCCTTCCCTTCTCTTCTCTTCTCTTCTCTTCTCTTCTCTTCTCTTCTCTTCTCTTCCTCTCTCTCTTCTCTTCTCTTCTCCTTCTCCTCTCTTCTCTTCTCTCTGTTCTCTATCTTCTGTTCTTTCTTCTCTCTCTCCTCTTTTTCTCTTTCACCCCTCTCTCCTTTTCTCTTTCTCTACTCTATCTCCCTAATGTCTCTCTCCTTCTCTTTCCTCTCTCTACTCTCTCTCTCCCTCTCTTTCCTCTCTGTGTATCTCTCTCTCCTTTCTCTTCTCTCCCCCCAGCTCTCTCTGTTCCTGCCCCTCTGCCCTTCCTAATGAGTGCACAGAAAAGCATACCTCTCTAAGGCTGGGAAGATAACACAGTGGCTAAGGGCGTTGCCTTGTCTGCACCCAACCCAAGTTTTGAGTGCAGAACCAGGAGTAAGCTCTGAGCATTACTGATGGTGGACAAAAAGAAAAAGAAAAATCAATCCCTAAACACAAAAGTTTTCTTCATACCCAAAGACTTCATTTAACAATAATTAAAAAAAAAAGTAATGGATCTTCAGTTTTAAAATTTGTGGTGTAGGTTTCTTGGCACCAAATAAAGGTGTACAAGCTACAGGTATAAAATTGCAATACTGCTTATTCAAAGGAAGCATGCAAATATGCCCCACTTATACTGATTGGTATTCACTTATGATCATTATTTATGTTGTCCTATATTTTTCATATATTAAAATTAAATAATTGACTTAATTTTTTATAGTTCTAAAAAATAAATACTTCTTTGTACGTGAATTGGATAACTTACAAAAGTCACTCATTCTCATTTAGAAAGTGCTCTAAGAAACTTGCAATCTAGAATGTTATATTTCCCAATTCTCCATTCTACCATTCACTTCAAATTCAAATAATTCCTTTTCAAACATCATTAAAATAGGGCCAGAGAGATAGTACAGGGGCCTCACCACTAGTATTGTTTTAATTATATGATGTCTAATTGATTTGAACACACTAAGTTGGCACAATTAAGTCATCTGTTTTCCCACAAAATTTCCTATGTATTGGTGCAATACATTAAAATTAAAAGTTTTTTTCTTTTCTTTTCCCTCTAGTATCTATCTCAGAGCATTTTGGCCCAACCTAGCCCTCTGATGGTGTCTAAGTAAAGTCATGCTTTCAAGAGCAAATGTTTTATTTCAGCATGTCCTATCAGGACACAATTTAATTCAATTAAACAGTTGTTTTTTTTTTCTGTTAAACACCCCCCAAATTGTTTTCATTATGCATTCATCCAAAATGCTTATGCATAGGGCAGGAGTGCTAGCCAAGCTTATGTTCCAGTGCTCATATGGGCTGGCTACTTTTCAGCAATTCATTACGAGCTATCTGGATGAAATCCCTTTGGCCAGATATATTTGCAGGACTTCAGTGAGGGAGCACATATAAATATTTAGAGAAACATTTTTTACCATGTGATTTAGAACCTGCCTGTCACTTTCATAACTACCAGGTTCTTATCTCACCTGATTTTGGTAAATTTAGCACAAAAATATTTTAGTGTCCCTTATAATAGATTTTGGTTCCCATTTTAACTAAATGCTACCAAATTTATATTTTTTGATCTGTTCAGATGGTTATATTTTCCTAATTGTGAATGTCATGAACTTTTTCATTTTATAATTTGTTTATATATTAACATATATAACATATATAAGCAAATTATATATGTTGTCATAAATACATATTCATATACATATCAACAGAGTGCGATAGCACAGTGGTAGGGTGTTTGCCTTGCACGCAGCCAGCCCCGTAGAGCCGGATTCGATTTCTCCACCCCTCTTGAGAGCCTGGCAAGCTACTGAGAATATCTCGCCCGTGCAGCAAAGCCTGGCAAGCTACCCGTGACATATTCAATGTGCCAAACACAGTAACAAGTCTCAAAATGGAGAAGTTACTGGGCCCGCTCGAACAAATCAATGAATAATGGGAGGACAGTTACAGTTATTATTAACAGAGTGCGTCCAGACAAGTGGAAACCAATCACCAGTAAGTAAGTGTAGATGTTATCAAATTTAATTAGATAGTTTTTTTCTTTTAACTCTGTACATGTCCTGGATAAAAATGTTTGAGAATTTACCATTTTTCTGTCATAATCAATAAAGAAGAGAAACACTTTTTATTTATGCTTTCTCAATTAATGGACTAAATTTGGGGTGTTTTTCTAATATTTTAATTTAAATTGATTTTAATCATCATCATAAATCGATGATGCTCTTAAAATACTTTATTATTCAAATAATTTTATTACTGGACACAATTATTACATTTCTGATGTTAAAATAAGTTTCTCATTGTAAAGTGGTAACATAACAAAGTGAAAATATTTAAAGTATCTATTGCTATTTATAGAAAAAACACTTTTGTTTTTGTTAATGTTACAATGCCAAATATTAATCAAAACTCAGGAGAGGACTCGTCAACCTTTGGTTTCTTTAATCACCTTTGGTATTAGAATGAAATTTATGTATCTATTTAAAACAGTAATTTAGATTCTTATAAATCGTATATATATGCAAATTGGGTATATATTTATCTAAATTAAACAAACTTCAAAGTAAAATATGACTTTTATGTTTCTATTCGTCTAATAAAAGATTATTTAAAATGTTATAACTTTAAATATTTTAAAAATAAATTTTTAAATTCCTTAGTATTCACAAGGACTATTATAACCACTACAGCTTGTTCTGGCATTTCTGATAGAAATGTTAAATTTGTGAAGCCAGAGCAATATCACAGTGGGTAGGGTATTTGCCTTGCAGGCAGCTGGGCTGTCTTCAATCCCGGATTTCAGGTAGCCTATTTAGTATTAAGGTGGTGTATTAGGTGAATAAGAAATTATGACCAATCAACAAATCTTTAAGAAATTAAAGAGGAGTTTGAACTAGACTTTTATGTTTCCAAAATTTGAACAATTGAACATGAACCCTCAATCTCTCTTCTTTCTCCCCTTTCCTCCTTCGCTGTGTCTTCTCCATCCTTTTCTCCTCCTTCTCTTTCTCCTCTTCTCTGCTCTCTACGCTTCAGTTTTAGTTGTGCTGTTTGCAGCATTGAAGAGGCAAAGGAAAAAGGAACCCCTGATTGTTTCTAAAGACGATGTCCGGGACAATATTGTGACCTACAATGACGAAGGCGGAGGGGAAGAAGACACCCAGGCCTTTGACATAGGCACCTTAAGGAACCCTGAAGCCAGGGAGGACAGTAAACTGAGAAGAGATGTCATGCCTGAAACAATTTTTCAGATCAGGAGGACTGTGCCTCTCTGGGAAAATATTGATGTGCAAGATTTTATCCATCGACGGTTGAAAGAGAACGACTTGGATCCCAGCGCCCCTCCCTATGACTCCCTGGCCACCTATGCCTACGAGGGGAATGACTCGGTGGCAGATTCACTCAGCTCTCTAGAATCTCTCACGGCTGATGGCAATCAGGATTATGACTACCTGAGTGACTGGGGGCCTCGGTTCAAAAAGCTGGCAGACTTGTACGGGGGCGATGACAGTGACCGGGACTGAGTTGTGACCTTAGATGACCTTAGTGCAGTTCTTCTTTGTTCTTAGATTGAGTGGCCTGCGTTCTCTTCCTTGGGGGGGAAATTTCTTTAAAATTGAAATTATGAATAATCCATGGTGTTGTCTTAGTAAGGATTTGCTTAATCAGTAAGTTTCTGTGAATGACTACTACGAATGAATAGAAATTTTAAAGAGTTAATACTAACCAGTTCACCCTCTCTGCCTAACAATCTCTGAAAGAAAGCATATCGTGAATAATCAATGAGAAACATGTAAAAGGCTTTCTGTGCCTTTTTCTTAGATATAATAACTTTATAAATGTTTTCTTAATGGACGTCCAGTAACCTTTACTATTAAAGCATTGTGCAATTGCTTTGTAAATTAATACGGAAAAAGAAAAAATATATATATGCCTAAAGAAATAGGAATGCCTATTACTGCCATATTTATTTAGTTGGAAAAAAATGTCTTTGTGTTAATTCATTCATATTTTTATAAATGTATATTTATATTTTTGTATTTTTATGAAATAAACTAGTCTTTATAAAATAAATTTCATTTTATGTAATTTCTAAAGGCATATCTGATCTCCCTTATGAAAAATTATTTTGTTTGCCTTTCGGACCACGCCGAGTAGGTCCTCGCAGCTCTGATTCTGAGGGTCAGTCCTGGTGGTAGTAATGGTGGTGGGGACCAAGGATTAAACTCAACTTTTTGACAGGCAAAGCATTTTTTGCACAGCTCATTGAGTCTTTTCTTTGTCCCCTTAGATTTATTTATTTTAGGTTAAAGAAGATTTAAGATAAATATTAAAGGTAAAAGATTTTATAATGTAGTAAAGAGGAAGATTTACTCAGGGAAAAGCAATTAAATCATTGCATGCATTTAGAACTAATATGTCCTGAGGCTATACTTGAGCTTTTGTATAAATTGTGATTTTTCTATGTCATCCATTTAAATATGGATAAGTGCTTATTGGACCTCAGATGTAATACACCAGTGGGATATCAGGCACATTTTTAATAAATATTGTAAATACTTTTTCAAATAAGAGACTAAGATTTTTGTATAACTCAAAATTATGAAATCAACTTTTGGATTTTATTGAATAGTGAAATGTATGTCTATACTGCCTAAATAAAGGAAAAATTATATGGTGTCAGAGATGGAGGAATTATAGCTTGTCTGCCTCAGTCTACCAAGCTTGAAATACCAAGAGCATCATAAGAACCCTAGCTACTCACAAGACATGCAACTGTCAAAGAAATGTATTTTGAGCCCAAATACAATACTATATAGTAGATTTTATTTTCAGTTATGAAGAAATGTTCATTTGACCAATATTTTTGGCAACTAAATAATTTAATAATTTGTCTAGTTTTGAAGTCCTCACATCTGGGAAAGATAAATATTCTAAAGTTCCCCCTCGAGCAAATCAATGAACTACGGGAGAACAGTGACAGTGACAGATATCAAGAGAAAGAGAACTGAGGAGTTTTATATTTAATATGCATATAATAATAGCTATAAACAGACTTTTTAACTCAAAGAAGTGACCGGTCTATAAAATAATGCTTACTATTTTTTCATAATTTTTAAATTTCTATAGTAAGGACATGTCAGATAAGGTTTTATTATTTTCTTACTAGCAAACTAAAAAAATTATTTCAGTTTTCCAGAAAATTTACAAGGTAATATTTCTGTGTTCAATTTCCTCTCTGGGCTGGAGCGATAGCACAGTGGGTAGGGCGTTCACCTTACAAGCGGCCAACATGGCCGACCCGAGTTCGATTCCTCCGCCCCTCTCGGAGAGCCCGGCAAGCTACCGAGAGTATTGGATATGCCAGACACAGTAACAACAAAATCTCCAATGGAGACGTTACTGGGCCCGCTCGAGCAAATTTCCTCTCTCTTATTAGACAAATATCATGAAGCCAGTAATTTTTCTCATCTCCTGATTTCAGTAGCTGAGGGCTTGATAAATATGAAGGAAAGTGTTCCATTTAATATTGAGAAAGATTATTTCAAAAGACAGCAATGGCTTAAGAGTTCCATTTCATATGTCTTTAAAATGTATGCTACTGGAGCTGGAGCCATAGTACCATGGGTAGGGCATTTCTCTTGCACACAGCTGACCCAGGTTCCATTCCGATCATCCCATATGGTCCCCCAAGCACCACCACTTAGTAATAATTCCTGAGTGCAAAGCCAAGAGTAACCCCTGTCTGCGTACTCTCCACTGGTTGGTGATCGTCGATTATAAAAAAGGCCCTCCCGTTGATCGTCGATTTGCTCGAGCGGGCCCAGTAACGTCTCCATTGGAGACTTTGTTGTTACTGTGTCTGGCATATCGAATACTCTCGGTAGCTTGCCGGGCTCTCCGAGAGGGGCGGAGGAATTGAACTCGGGTCGACCATGTTGGCCGCTTGTAAGGCGAACGCCCTACCCGCTGTGCTATTGTCATTTATTCCATTCTCCCCACACACTTGTTCCAGTCTTACTAAGCCCCTCATTCTAGTCTCACACTGCCCCCCATCCCCATCTCCTCCTGTTTCTCCTGCTCATCTCTCCACACTCCATCTGCCGCCCTAGTCTCTCTCTATTCTCTCACCAACTCCCAGCATTAGGGGTAGCCCACCACACCCCATCTGGTAGCATAATTAACAAACGAAAGCCCATCTTCTGCTCAAGGGCAAAATAACACTTAGGGGGTTTCTCCTCTCTTTCGTCCAGTAACTTAATCAAAATCTCAATTCTACTTCTTAGTATTAGTTATTTTGTATGGACACAGTAAGAGATACAATAAACTTGTAGGATGGCTCTCCTGGGGACATCTCTCTATAGATCTCAGATTACAGTGCTCAGGCTAGTTTTATCTTTCCTAACCATAAGAGAGTACTAATATAAACGTTACATTTTGGATCATGACAGAATTTATCCATGGCTATGTTCTTAATTTATAGTTAATTATTATGGCGTTTTGGCCTGGCCCATTTCAATGCCAGGGTAACTTACAGCTTGCCCTGGGTCCATTCAGTCCCTCATCGGGACCCTGCTTTTGGGGTGCTGGGAAATAAGGGAAACTGAGGCTTAAGTCAAGAGAACAGATGCCCAGGAGTGAATATTATTTGGAGTCAGTTAACTCCCAAGTTACAAAAGCATAGCATTAATTCTCTTTCTGTGTCTATACATAAAGGACACTTCTCTGAGTTAACTATGCAAGAGTCTTAAGGAGAAGAGAAAAACAATAGTTACAAGTTAACAGAGTCTGATTAGGAGATAAAGGTAATTGACCAGTTGGGGAAGCAGAGCACAAAGAAAAGGGTTACAGATAAACACAGAAGAATAGGAGCACTGTGATGGGAGTAACCCAATAAACTTAAATTCCCTGTGGCAAGATAGAAAGGACAAACCAATATTATCCTACACCTGTGCATCTCCAGGTATGATCCCCCAGAGCAAAAAATAAACAAATAAATAAAATAAAATAGGTGCTACCACACAACATTCACTCCTAACTCCTAACATAAAAGTTTGCCTCTAAATGGTCTATTGGGTCACTGTCCACCTTGAAGTCCTTCCTCTTCACTCTAGGACATTCAGTTGTGTGATTACTGTACAAGATTAGTTTCATTTACTTCATTTGATTTCTCCTCCTCCCTGACTTCTCTATATAACATATGAGAATATATTTAATATTTTATTCCTGCTTTTGACATTTCACTTAGCATCCTCTCCTACCCCTGAACTCATCTTCAGTTTCATTTATGTTGATCCCAAAGCAAGGTTTCATTCTTGCTTGTAAGTAATACTTCAATGTGTACATGCCACCTCTGCTTCATCCTGAATTGGCTTCTGAGTTATTAGCAGAACTTGAATACTATAAATAGCACTGGAACAAAAATAGGTGTGTATTTTCTCTTGGTATTCAAGCGTATGTGTTCTTTGGATAAGTGGCTAGACATGGAATTGCTGATGTGTATAATAGCTTTATTTAGAATATTTAGAAAAAATTACAGTGCTGTTTTTCCATAGTGACTAACTAGTCTACACCATCACCAATAGTTAAAAGTTTTTTTTTATTTCCACATACTCAACAACAATTGTTTCTGAACTTTTTGATATAAGCCATCTCATTTTTATCTCATTTTTCTAGTGGTAAGTGTAAAGCATTAATTCATTAAAGGTTTTCTTTTCCAAATCAGATACTTTAATTATACTTGGCTTTTTAAAATTATCAAATAATTTAAAATAAAATGCCTAATTATAGTGGCAGAAAGTCTGAAATCATTATTTTTGTCATAAATGCTCAATAATTTTTATTAGCAGATCTGTATCTATTTCTGATTATTTTTCAGTGTAAGGGGTCTATTTCAATCATTTCAACTGTAACATATAGCTTGAATATTATTATTCAATCCTCTTGACAAAACTGCTTAGTATAGTGACCAGTATTTAACTGTGATAAATCGGGGGCAAGTGGTGTGGAACATCAAACTGTGTTTAAGACGCGCTCCTGCCTCTGTGCTCAGAGATCATTCTTGGTGGTGCTCAACAGATGACATGCTGTACCAGGGCCCAACCAGAGTCAGCCATATGCAAAACCAGCACTTTAAACCATGTGCTCTATCTCTGGCTTTACATAGCCCTTTCCTCCCATTGTTCATCAATTTGCTCGAGCGGGCCCAGTAACATCTCCATTGTGAGACTTGCTATTATTGTGTTTGGCCAATTGAACATGTCACAGGTAGCTTGGCAGGCTTTGCTGTGCAGACAAGATACTCTCGGTAGCTTGCCGGGATCTCTTGAGCAGGGCAGAGAAATCAAACCTGGCTCGGGCAGGTCAGCTGTGCGCAAGGAAAATGCCCTATTGCTGTGCTAATTATTTTTAATTTAGTGAAATACTACAAATACGTAACACAAGAAAGGACATGTAAAAATATAAAGTATTCAAATAAATAGCATATATGAATATCTTCTACACCACTGATTGCAATTAAACA